AATCATATAGATAGTACTTTAGTCTTTTTACTTTGTATTATTTGATTTTTAAATTTATTATTAATAAAATTATATTACTACGTCTAAAAAAAAAAAAAAACTGATCTGATTTTGACGAATTTTAGCTTGTTAGAATCGCTGCACTGAGAAAAATCGGAATTCAGTATCAGTTTTTGGGTAGTCGACCTACTGAAAAAATTTCTACACTTAAATTTTATTAAGTAAGAATTTTTGATATAGATCGCTAAATTGCGTAAAATTGGTCTTAATAATCGCACTTCAAATTTTTACTGAATATTAGCTAGATTTTGGGATTTAAAACAAATATAAAACCATGTTTCTAGCATTCGTAGTTGGTGAGGTATAAGCTTTTAAAGGCAAGCAACTCTACTTGCATTTCTTTTGTAAGCCACTGTATAATCACTCCTATTTATAATTACATAATTTTTAAAAACCAAAAGTGGTGATTATAGACAAGTCTGACTGTAATATGTAAACTTATATTGCTTTGTTTTTTATAATTTTTCAATAAAATTATTAACTGTTAAATTTGGATCTTTTATTATTTAAGAATTTTTTATTAATTTTAATATTTCATAAATTTGGTTTATTTGTCTAATTTTTTATAATTCAAATTTATATAGAAGCACTTTTTTTATAAGTTTTTATATAAAATATGATATAATATGATGAAATATAAAATCTGCAAATAGAATTTTTAGAATTATGAAATTGAGGTTTAAAAGGTTATAGAAATTTAGACAAGTTTTGAAAGTTACAGAAATTTGGGAATTTACAGAATTGGCTAAATGAAACTTTAAATTAGTAAAATATTTTACTAATAGCAAAGTAGTTTCGATCAATATTGACAAAATTGATAATATATATAACTAAGCATTTTTAGATTATCATTTGAGTAATTTACAAAGTTAATAATAGTATTAAAATTTATGAGTATATAATGTAATTACTTTTCTATGAATTTTATTTTACTTTTTGATGTATTTAAAAAATAATATTATTAATTCTTTTGATTTTCTTCTTTTTATGCTTTGAAGATAATATAATTAATTATTTTTTGAATTAAGATTATCTATATACAGTTGATCTACATCTTTCAGAACTAAAAATAAAAAATGTGATTATAGTGAAAAGTGATATACAGAAGGATTTTTATATAATATTATTAAGTATTAGTTTTAAAGGAATATGATTATAAAATCATTGTGATTATAGAAAAGGTTTTTTTTATATAATGTTAATAAAAACTGATTTTTATGAAAAGTGTGTTTATAATAAAAGATTTATATAATGTGATTATATAGGGATGACTATAGAAAGGGTTAACTGTATTAGAAGTTAGAACTGATTAATTTTTAACTAATTAATTAACTGGTTAAAACATTTATTTTGTTAACTGGTTAAAATAACTAATGATAATTTTGACTGAAAGTTAATTTTCAGGTAGAATTAAATTTTTTTGCAATTACAAAATTTTGCTAGTTTTGACTTAATTTATAATGTTGGTCTTAGTTAAATTTAACTAGTTAATTGATCGGTTAAAGATCTTTTAACTGGTTATTAACCAGTTAAGGATTTTTAAGCTGATTTCAACATTTAGCCTAAACAAACAATCTGATCAATATCATATTTATCAATCTTATTTATATTTTTTGAGAATATCAGATAAATAGTATTTGAACATCAGGATTAATTAATATTGTATTGATAGAAATATATACTTTGGATTTTATGAAGCTATTTTTGTGTCTAATAGACATATGCTATTTATTTATTTATTTTTTTTTATTTCAGTTCAGGTGATTGGAATGAGACATTATGACTTAGAATCTATTGAAACCATATGTCAGCCCCAATCCTTAGGTCTCTGCTGACTCATATGTCCATTGGCAATCTACACTGGTAGAACTGACCCAGATGTTACCAAGTCAGTGGAATTAAGCCCTTATAAAGGATTTGATACCTTTCTGGTTATCATACATCTGGAAACTACATATCACAATAGGATTGAGAGATCCATTACATCATATACCTTACTAGGGTATACTCTTACCCAACTAATGCCACAGGGTTTATGGGATTATTATTACAAGATTTGCTTAAATGATGAACTAGCGGGGTGATGATCAGGCTATATTGACAAATATCTTAAGAATCAAACCTAACCTCAGACTCAATGATATGCTCGATTAGACAATGTTGCGGTATGCAATGCAGTTTATTATCACTGTTGATCTAATCTACTAATTTCTGGTCAATCACTTCCTTAATTTATATACAATCTTATGATCATATACGGAAATAAGAGCCCCTGCTATATGAGACGTAAGATTGTATTCATTATAGACCAATCAGCGAAAGCCAAGTTTTTATTGATTCCTGGCTTTATTTGTATCTACTTGTTTTAACACCATGCAGTATTTAGGCATGATTAATATTGATCAATAAATCAATCAACCAGATTTGTACGTATGTTAGTACATACATACGCCTATCGTATTCAATACATATGAAATTCTTATGAAAATCATCTAGTTTTATGTATTGACTGATACCTGAACTGATGGCCTATTGCTGTGTAATAAAACTTTAACTTAATAGAAGACTCGCGGTTTTAATCACTAAACCAGAGACACTGATCCTTTTGCTGCTTATTTATTTGTCTGAAGTAAATAAGCTTATTATCATAAGAAATCTTATAAGTGATAGACTATTTATTATTTTTATATTTTATTTTTGAAATGAGGAGATCACAATATATATTATTACTATTTAATATTATAATAGGTTTGTGATAATGTAAAGAATACATTGATATAATGTATAAGTAAGTAATATTAAAATAGTCACATATTAAAGATGAAATTTTTTAAGCACAGATGGTATTAGTTTATCATAGATTTTGTAAGTTTGAAAGAAAGTGAATAAATAGAATTACTTTATATACATTGAGTAGTATATTTAATAATTTTATTTCTAGTAATTAATACTTTATTAATTACTTTTCAATTATATTTGCAAAAGTAACATTTATTATTTTATTTCTAAATGAACTATAATTTTCAAGAATTTTCTTTCATCTCAGATAATTGAATTAATAAACTTTTAATTATTTACTTTATCAACATTTATTTCAGATTAAATAAAAAAAGTTTTTGTTAATTTTTAGGATTTGAATATTTCTTTTTTTAATATAATCTTCTTTTATAAAACAATATTTTTTGTTTTATTTTACTAAAAAATTATAAGTAAATTTTATCAATCCTATTTAATGTTTTAATAATTGTTTTTAAGAATGCTTAAGATATACCTTGATTAGTAGTATACAATTAAGAATTTCTTTTGTATTATTATTTAGTACATATCCTTATTATACTTTCTCTTTTTGCTTGTTTTGTTTATTTTAATATTCTCATTAATAAAGAATAGCTCTTTTTTCTTATATATGATAGATAAAATCTGTGTTAATTGTAAGGATATCTAAGAAAGTTTATGCTTATCATAGATCATATCATTAAAGAGAACCATAAATTTTATAATATAAAGAAAGAGTATGTATTAGGTTAAATCAAAAGTAAATTAGCAGGATAACTAACCACAATTTATGAAATTGTTTTACTTGTTTATTCTAATTAGATCTTAAATTCTGGTTGTTTAAAGTTAACACCTGAGCTGCTATTACTGATGAGTTTACAGGCTAGTATTTGGAGCTAAGAAGTTGTTTCTACCATTCAAAATCCTCATTTTGCTTGATACCAAAGACTTGGGCATAGGAAAAACCTTTTTTGGTAATGATCGGTGATAATCAACATTTTTGTGAAGTCAGTTCTGGAAAAATAGCTTTAACCAATGACGTAAGATGTCTGATGATATACCAAGCTTAGTTGTATTTACGGTAAAAAAGATTTTTTATTATAATAGTATTGGCCGAAATTATATAAATTTTGACCAAAATTATATACGCATTTTATTTTTTGACAAGAAAAAACGTATTGGATAAAAACTTCTCCCCCGTTAAGAAAATTTTACTATTTCACTTTATCCAAAGATGTCGCTTGTTGCTGATTATGGATCAGATGCGTCCAGCAGCGAAGAAGAAACGAACGTTCAAATTGTGACAGAAACTATGACAAACACCAAAAAACCTTTATTATCCTCTTTACCAAAAAGCAAAAGGAATGGTCCTGTTAAGATAATGGTAGATTTGCCAAAATTTGATAACGATGAAAATGATGATATTGATGACAAGCAAGGTTCAAGAAAATCGAAACTCAGTTCCTCAGGTGGTAGTGGATTATTTGCTCTTTTACCGGCACCAAAAAGATTAGTTACTAGTAAACAAAATTCAACAAATAAATCAGTTAGTTCCTCGACTATTAAATCGACGACAGTATCTACAAGTTTTGTTCCTCATACGCTTACAAAACGAAAGCCTGCGGTGGCACAAAAAGTTTCTAATATATCACAACCTCTTTCCAAAATAAAAGGAAAAGAGGTAAATGAAGATGAAACTGAAGATTCAATTGAAAGTAACAAATTTTCTGTATCATTCTTTCCTCTAGGTAATATATTCACTTTTCTTCTTATAAAGATGTTAAAAGATGTATTCTTATTTCAACTTTTTTATTCTATATTACAGGGGCTGAAATAACGAATATAATACAAAGTAAAGTTGAGAATGAATCCTCTAATACAATTAATTTAGACAAAACAGAATCACCTAATATTGAATCAAATGTAACAACAGAAAGTTTTGCGACAAATGATTATTATTATAATTATCAATGGGATACTGGAACAAATTCATATACGGAGTGTTATTATGATGAGTCCCAAACAAATAGTGAACAAGCACAACCCGATAATCAAATAGACGACGAAGCGGTAATTTATTATCTAAAAAAAAAATAATTATTTTTATATATATATATATATATATTTTAAAAAAAAAATTATTTTATTTTTGTATAGATTCAAAAATTGGGAGGTAGAAGAGGTAAAGAAGGACCGATTATAATCAAAGAGATAAGTGCAGCAGATCAAATGGCTGATGCATGGCAAGCTCAAATGGGTGAATTAACAAAACCTGGCAAAGTAGGAGGCGGTATAGCAGTACGTGTCTCTTATTAAATTATTATTTCTTGCAGAATTTCTAGATAACGTTAATTGAAAAGATGTTCTTTTCATTATGTAGTTAAAACCCACAAAAGGGCAAAAGAGAAAACATAATTTAATGTATTTGGCTTATCAAGCTTCTGCAATGGAGAATGACTTAAAAGAACAATTTGCAGCAAATAAGAAAACCAAACGAGAGACCCAAGCAAAATATGGTATGCTATATAGTTTATTCAAGTTATAACTGTTTATTTTCACATATATATTAATCTTAATACTTTTTTCCAGGATTTTAATGAATTTATTACAATATGTTAACATGTTTATAATATATTATAATTATTTTATAAGAACTTATAATAAAAAAATGTTTAAAAAAGCAATTTTATTATATAAATAGTAAATGAACTATACTCACTTAAATAGGTCATCTGGTAGCTAGAAGTAAAAATTAAAATAAAAAAAATATATAACACAGAGAAATGCTTACCTAACAATAAATTAGGATTGCCCGATCTAAAAAAAGTTAACGACGATATTACATAAAATCAATTAAATTATACAAGAACCTTTTAATTAAGCACTGGATGTCACAATTCTTGGTTTACATTCATTTTCACCTATGTGTCTTATAAATACAGAATCTGGAGGATGATCTTTTTCACCTTCTTCAAATGTATAACTACTTGCTATAGCCAAATATTGCCCTTCTCTACTGAAATCCAAACTTGCAATGCTAGTTGGATACTGAGGATATTGTTTTAGCCGCTTTTTATTGAAACCATCCCAAATATTAACTACTCCGTCAGCTCCTCCCGAAGCAAAAGTTCCATGTCTATAGAGATGACACTTATAAATAAGTAAATATTATTACTATTATTATTTTTTAAAAAAATATACTCACGTTGGATTAAAAGCTAAAGCGTTAACAGGGTAAACTGTATCTACACCATCTATAACTTTTCTATGACATTTAAAAGCATATTTACGTGCTTGAATTTCAGGTGATGGATCAAAGAATTCAACAGCAACGCGTCCTTCGATTGAACTACTTGCATAACCTACATTAACCAAACTAAAAAGTCAAAAAACAATCGTAAGATTGAGAAACTTATTAGATAATTAAATTAATCCTTACCTTGTCGATTAGGCATGCACTTAACACAACGAGTCATAAATTTCAAACTACTTTCACGTTTTTGTATGGTTTCAGACATGTTTCGAATGTCATAAATAAAAAATTGTCTACCTGCCGTTGCTACCACTAATTTATAATAAACTAATGATAACGCAAACACTTTTGCCCCATCTCCAATTTCATATTGTCCAAATAGTGCGTCCTTCTTACGAACGTCCCATAATCTAATTGTGCAATCCCATGATCCAGATACAATCATGTCTATAAAAAAAATATATATTTCATATTCTGATAAAAGATCAATCGAAAATACGTGATTTTTAAATTGACTTACGCTTTTCTAAACTATATTCGACACACTTAACTGCCTTATCGTGTAAGCCCACAACGGATTCGTTGGTCGTGTTGATATCAAAACTTAAAAAAAAAATTTTCAATTAGTAAAAAAACAAAAATTATAAAATAAATAATAAAATTGATAAAACTTTCACCTTTTTATGCAATGATCTAGTCCGCCACTAAATACGTGTGCACCGTCAGAAAAACAACAGTCTAGGACAGAGGCTTTATGTTGAAAAGAAGCTCTAAGTGAATTGTCATCTACGTCATAAAGTTTCACCGTCTAGAAAACTATGATTTAATAAAAGAGTGTAAGTGGTGAAAGTAAAATTAAAAATGAAATAAGTACCTTATCCCAAGAAGAAACCAACAAGTGATTTGAAGTGGTCGGACAAAACACGACTGAGGAAATTGCATCAGAAGGTGGATCTACCAGTTCAAATTGTTGTTGCTGCTGCTGCATTGAGATTGTTTATAGTAAGAAAACTTTTAATTCATGAATAAACCACGAAATCTTATATATATAACTTCGTGTAACAAATTTTCATGTTCTCATCAACCAATCAGAATTTTCCCCTTTTTTTGATTTTTTGATTACATATGGTCACAATGTTCAAAGAACTTTGTTGCAGCAGCACACACACCATTAGTTGATACGTTTAACAATATATCAGTATGTCTTCACTCTCTTTGAAACAAGCCGAGGAACTTGCAAAGACGTCTCCTGGTGAAGCAGAACAGATATATAAGGAAATTCTTGCTCAAAATGCTGGTATATACAACTCGAATACATACATACGTGACAATATAACTTTGCACGGGATATTTTCATAAGCAATTATATTTTATTTATTTCCTTAGGAAATAACGAGAATTTGGCACGGGATCAAGAACTTGCTCTTGTTAATCTCGGAGAACTTTATCGGGATTATAGGTATTAAAAAAAAGAAATCATTACTTCATTCTTATGAATTTAAAAGTTTTTATTCCTTGTATTAGAAAACCCGATGAATTATCAAACTTGATACGTTCTTCTCGAACCTTTATGGCGTCAATCGTGAGAGCAAAAACCGCTAAAATCGGTATTATATGTGACTTTTCTATTATTGTTTCATAACCTATTTAAGAAATCGATTTTATTTTTTAATGATTTGAATGGATTATTTCAGTAAAGACGTTGATTGATCTGTTCTCTGAAATACCCGAATCACTACCTCTCCAAATCGAAATTTGTAAGGAGACAATTGACTGGAGCGTACGAGAAAAGCGAATTTTTTTAAAACAATCTTTGGAGACTCGTTTAGTAGCTTTGTAATATATATATAGTTTTTTTCCTTGGATAATTGGCTAAATATAAATAAATATATATATATTATAGATGTTAACGTTATTACTGTTATTATTTTTATTAGATACCTCGATAATAAAATGTACCATGACGCCTTAACTCTTATTAATTCACTATTAAGAGAATTAAAACGTTTGGATGATAAAATGGTGTTAGTGGAAGTTCAGCTTTTGGAGAGCAGAGTTTGTCATGCGTTACGGAATTTACCAAAGTCCAGGGTAAATTTCAAATTTATAGTCTGGAATTTTGTATGTATCCTTATACTAATAGTATTAAAATAATTTAAGGCTGCTCTTACATCAGCTAGAACTTCAGCGAATGCTATTTATTGTCCACCTCTTCTTCAGGCTGCACTTGATATGCAGTCTGGAATTTTGCACGCTGAGGATAAAGATTATAAAACAGCGTATGTAATTAAATATTATATTATGATTGAACTTTTATTATTCATAACCAAATCTTTGTATTTATAGATATTCATATTTTTATGAAACTCTTGAAGGATATTCTTCTCAAGATGATCCAAGAGCTATTCTCGCTTTGAAATATATGTTGCTTTGTAAAATCATGTTGAATTTGGTAAAAATCATACCTCGTTTTATTTTTTAAAAATTTTTTTACGTAACTAACTTATTTACATGATTAAATGATTATACATCTTTTTGAATTATATAGTCGGATGACGTTTATGCCATTATCAATGGTAAACTCGCTTTACGTTACGCTGGACGTGAAGTTGATGCTATGAAAGCAGTAGCAACAGCTCATAAAAATCGTTCACTCAACGAATTTGAAAATGCGTTAGCAACTTATAAAGATGGTATTAATAATAATCATCATGACATAACTTCCTCGAATGTTTCTTTATAACCCATCGTTGATTTAACTTCTAACGTTCATAGAATTGGGAAATGATCCAATCATTCGATCACATCTTGCTGCACTTTATGACACTTTGCTCGAGCAAAATTTGGTACGTATAATAGAACCATTCTCAAGGGTCGAAATTTCACATGTTGCAGAGATGGTCAAACTGCCAACTCAACAAGTAGAGACAAAATTATCTCAAATGATATTGGATAAAGTTTTTCATGGGATTTTGGATCAAGGCGCGGGATGCTTAATTGTTTTTGATGAACCATCTCAAGATGTAAGTTTATTTTTAAGGGTGATATGATCTATTAAATGATTATTAATATTCGATATTTTATCAAGTTAACATATGAAGCCACATTGGAAACGTTGAAACAAATGGGAAATGTTGTTGAATCATTATATGAGAAGGTAACTTTAGCCTATTTAGGTTCTAAATCTAGGGGTTAATTACCTGCAGAATTCTCCTGCTAAAGATATTCTCATTATTGTTTATGTAGGCTGCAAAATTATCCTAAATTACCATATTAACACAATTATTAGGTTTGTTCCTGTGCAATGACTGCATTTTCACTCAAAATAACGGAATGTAGATTGTTATACAATTTAAAATCACATATATTTATTAGATTTGTACCACCGAAGTTTCCGCAAAATATAAATTAAAAAATGGGTGATCGTTTCACAATTTACAGTTCTCCAAATCGAATTATAAAAAAAATATTTTCAAATTGTACGAGCAAGGCTGATGATTTTGTACTAATGAAGAATGTAGCAAACGATTGTACTTTCTAGTTTTTTTTTTTAATGCCTACAGCTTGCATTATTTGCATTTGCCTCTTTTCGAAAACAAAAAAGTTACCGAGGCAAAAAAAAAAAAATAAAAAAATAAAAAAAATTCGTTCGGGTATATTATATATTTTTATATTTTTATATTTATTTAAGAGGAAGTATTGTGACCCTTAAACATCGCAACTTTATAACTTTCAGTTGTTGCAGGTCACAGACGAAGCAACTAGACTTTGGGGCGAAAATTTTTATAGAGTAGTAATATAGCAAATAGAAATTAAATTATGAAAATTATTTAAAAAATAAACCGTAATTAAATTAATAATATCTCAAGTCGGTTAATTTTATTTTAATTTTACGAACAATTTTTCTTTCAAAAGTATAATATATATATAAATCCCGGCTGAATTTTAATAAAATTGAAAAATTTTATTCTATGTTTACAATATGAAGACAATACGAATATATATCATTCTAACGTTATTAATATCTTGTACTGGGATATTGCAAGTATTTGTAAACGTTGCAGCTGAAGCACCAAAAATAAATTACAATGGACTGTCTCAAATTCTTACCTTGGGTCAATATAATGGTATATCGATATTTAGTACACCAGGACAAAGAGAAAATTTTGATATAACGAGCGATTCCTTTATATCACAAGCACAAAATAATACTTTTCAGCTGGTCGGGACGACATCATATAATGGAACTATAAATGCGATTTGTATACTACCACGGTCCAATGAAGGGATGGATGTATATATTGGTGGTAGATTTAATACACTTGGAGATATATCGGTTAATAATATAGCTCGTTATGATCCATCTAGTAAAACAATTTCATCTTTAGTAGAGGGATTGGATGGTCCAGTATATTCATTGTATTGTGATACCTCAAATTCTATTGTATATGTTGGAGGTACGTTCGTAACTCCAACGAATCCAATGGCAAACAATATAAATGCAACAGATTTTGCTGGTAGTGTAGCTGTATGGCGTGATGAAACTTGGGTGCCATTACCTTTCAAAGGATTTAACGGGCCAGTTTATACCATTGCGTATAATGAGCCTAACAACACCATCTATTTTGGAGGTCAATTTGATGCAACTGGTGATGGAAGATTTGGTGTGACATCAAATACTCAACCAATAAATATTCAAAAAGCTGTGGTAAAATTTTTGATTCCTTTAGTATTTTTAATTCCAAGATATGATTTCACTTTATTAAAAATTATCTTTATAACTACAGATTACTGGTGGGAATTCTGCTGATCGAGATTTGGTTGGTGATCCATCTTCTGTTCTATGCAATTCAGAACCTGATGGACCTGGAACAACCTGGTTAATGAGAGATGGCATGCCAGGTTTTTGGAGGGCAGAATTCAACGTTAAATTAACTCCGAGTGTGATTGGAATTAAGAATACAAATTTTGAGGGAAGGGGAACAAAGACATTTAGGTAAATGATGGGAATGGTAAAAAAAGAGGGGAGATTTTATTAGAATAAGGTGAATCATTCTATCCTTGGAATATTTTTCAAAAAATCAATTTTTCATTTTTATCCTTTATACATAGGTTAATCGCCACAGCTGATATGAGTGTAGTTACATTATCTTATATGGACCCTATAAAAGGATTGTTAGTGTGTACATCTTGTCCTCTTAGTCCAAGTAATGAAGATTTTCAAACATTCACATTTGTTAGTCGGCCAGAATTAACAGGAATTCAAATCGACATTTTGGAATGGTACGGAATTGGTGGAGGATTTCATGGAATTAAACTTTTCCAATCTGGTAAAAATGATTCAACTAATAATATAAATTAAATATATTTTTTTTATTTTTTTTTTTAGAAAAAAAAGGTTAAAATTTCTCTTTTAATTTTTAGATATAATTGTACGTGCTGTGAGTGACATGATTGATAATAATCCTTCTTGTGGTGGCACCAACCCATTTCAACCAAAAGTGACATTTGAAGGTTTATGGACTTCCAAGTTACTGTCAGGAATTTGGCAAAATGTGTTGCAGACAATAATTCCTGCTGGAGAAATTGCTACATCTACAGCAAAAGTTATCATGCAACCATATATTCCACAAGCTGGATATTATGATGTTTCTATGGTTACTCCTAGTTGTATTCCATATGATTGCTCAAAAACGATCTCCATTGATGTTAGGATCATGGTTGCTCCCGGTCAAACAATTGGACCTATACCAATTTCCCAAAATAATCCTTCCCAACTTAATCGAGTGGATGTACTAGCTTCTGGATTATTTATTGTTGCCACTACAACTTTTTTTCAACCTACTGTGGAAATTACAATTTCAACTACTGCAGCAGTACCCGTCGGAGGTGAAGCCATTGTTGTAGTGGATAGTATTAAATTTGTAAAGAGTCAAATTAATTTGCCTTTAAGCGGGTTATTCCAATATTCACCAGCTTCAGACCTGAACGAACCTGCATGGAATGGATTTAATGGTGTTTTAGCTCCCCTTTCAACTGTACATACGATTAAAGTCATATCTCCATATACAATTGTAATCGGTGGTAAATTCAATAATGTAACATTCTTCAATATCGTAGAATATGATGGCAATACATTTATACCACTTCCTAATGGAGGTCTTAATGGTCGAGTAAACACTTTAGAAAAAGTGGATGACAATTTATTAGTTGGAGGTTTATTCAATAATACTGTATTAGGACTAGCATCTCTAAGATTAGAGAATCTCGCTAGATTAAGTATCTCAGAAAATCAGTGGTATTCAGTCGCTGGTGGTGTAAATGGTGAAGTAGGAAGATTAACTTTATTGAATAATAATGAGAATCAACAAGTACACGTGGCCGGTAAATTCAATACGGCTATATCTCCAAAGGCTAATGAAGAAGGAATTATATATGGAAATGTGACATTCGGTTACTCAATTTGGGATAATAAATTCTCGGACTGGGCAACGTCTAGCTATATTGATGGTGTTATTAATGATATCGTGGTTTCTGGAACAAACGATCCTTCAACATTTTATGCTGGAAGAATTTCAGCTGCTCAGCTTACAACCGCATTTGGAGGAAGTTTTATTACAAGTACCGGAATTTCCGCACTTCCAATATATCCACAAGCTTTAGATGGAAACGTTCCTGAGATTATCATTAATACTGGTTTGATATGGAACGATACAAAAAATGACAAGTCTTGCGTTATCATTGGTGGCAAATTTGAATTTAATGGTATCAAGAATGTTGCCATTATGGTAGATGGTTTGTGGAACAGCTTGGGAGATGTTGTTTTTGAAGGGGAAGTCATATCTCTTGATGTAACAAATGATTTATTATACATCGGAAGTGCATTCACCGTAACTAATGAAAGCGACGAGGGTTATAATGCTTTTGTTATTTATGATTTATACGAGCGTAAAGTGATTGTATCACCTCAATTGACCGGTAAGAAAAAAAATATTAACTTCTGTATCTTTCAATAATTTGGTAAAATATTATTAACTCATTTTTATATGCTACTTTAGCAGATGATAATAATGTTAAGGTTAATGTGATAAGAGATCGTACAGGAACGCCCGAAATTATTGTAGGCGGAAAATTTGATAAAGCCGGTTCACTTGAATGCAAAACGATCTGTATTTGGGATTCAAGGCTTAAACAATGGAAACCTCTTGGTGCGAAAGATGATATTTCCGGTGAAATATTTTCTATGGATTTAATTGGGGTAAAAAATTTACAAAATATTTTTATTGTTCAAATAGATAAATAATTATAATGACACTAATGATTATTATTATTTATAGAAAATGAGAAATAAAGATCCGAATCCCCTAGTTGTTGCTGGAAATTTGACCTTAAATGGAAAACCCGTTTATTTACTTAAATATGATTTTAGCAAATCAAGTTGGGAAGATATGAGTTCCTTGGGATCTGATAATAACAAACTTCCAGGAATTGCTACCGTAGTATCTAATGATTTCATGATAGATGGTCAATTCTTTGTCTCAGGACATACTGAAGTAGATGGTTCTGCATATTTGTGTAAATGGACTGGTGATGAGTTCAGGATCATAGGCAAACAAATCATGTCAGATTCTAAAATAGAAGCTCTAACATTACTTCCTTCGAATAATGAACATGAAAATGTAGATTATTTGGGTGACAAATGGTTGCTCCTCGTTTCTGGTTCATTAAAATTGGACACAATTGGAGATGTTAGTGCGGCTTTATATGATGGAAAAGATATGTATCCTTATATCTTATCTTCACAAACCAATGGAGTTTCGGGGCGTATCACTGCTATATTCATAACAATTATTCCTGAATTATTTGGAAAAAGTAGGCTGAATTTGGAATCATTTTAACATTGTAGTTTTAAAAAATCTGCTTATAATTGATTGATCTATTTGATTTTATAAAATTAATTTTTTTTTAGGACCATTGCCCGTTCCTTTGGTTATTTTAGTCTCAATAGCTATCGCATTATCCCTCGTATTTCTGATTGTCGCTTCTGGTATGACCTATAGATATTATAAAAACAAACATCGAAAGAAACCTACTCCATTAGGTCTACGCGAATCTATGAAAACACCCATTCGAGATAGTGAAATAATGGCCACGATTCAAGCTGCCGCTGCTATAATCGGACAAGGCAATCGTTATTCTATGGCCTCAAGTAACAACCAGAGAAATTCTGTATTTGGATCTAATGCTGATGTGAAATCATTAGATGAAGTTGCATCATCCGGATTCATTGCTTCCGGACCTACGACAGGTCAACATTATAATCAAGCTTTTACCTTACAAAATAATTCACCGAAATCGATAGATGATGAATCGATTGATTCAAATTTAGCAAAAGGATTAGCTAAAGCTACCTCCACAGAACAAGCAGGCTCAGCTAAACTTCGACCTTCAACTCAGCTTCACTCAGTCGTTATTACTCCGGGTGAAGGTGCTCCAGTAGGTCAAGTTTTGTCGAACGGAGAAGCATACGAATACATTGCAAGATATCCGTTTAACGCGAGGGAAGAGGGTGAATTAGGTAAGCTCTTTTATTTATTTATTAATTATTAATCTAATTATTTATTTTTATTTTATTTTATTTTATTTTTAGGTTTCAATGCTGGAGATTCAATCTTTGTTTTAGATACTAATAACGAAGTATGGTGGTTTGGATATAAGCTAGATCGTAAGAAATTTATTCATTATGATCTTTTCAATTATTTTTAAATCTATCGAGTTTAAAAGCCTATTTTAATATTTTTTTAGAGGATGGTAATTTTATACAAGGTGTATTCCCAAGTAATTATGTGGTATTAAATCAAGACCAAATAAACACACAAACATCTGAATCTTGATATTTGCTTTAAAAAAACACTTATCGACCTTATAGTCAATGCTGTAAATATGCTGCTTGCGTTGTATTTATATAAATTTTCTTTTATACGTTCTTTTGGTTTTTAATAACTTCTTTTTTTAATAATATATATATATATATATTGAACCTCGTATTTTCCTTTTTTAAAATTACCCTCCCTTTTTATACGATTATGATTGTATTTTTTTTTGTTTATTCCCACCCACCCTTTATCACTTAATAATAGAATATATATTTATTTTTTTTAAAAAAAAAAAGAAAAAGAATTATTATTTTGATCCACCGTTTAATATTAGAATATATTTTTTCCAAAGGCAATTAAAATTCTTTTATTAAAAGTGTTTGAAATGTTGAAAATATTATTTTAAATTTATAATATAATATTTATCAAGGAAAAAAAAATCTTTCTTTTCTATCATTCTTGAAGGTTTTTATTGCTATATCTCTGCTTTTTATTTGCCTAAAAGAATTATAATAAGTAAAGCTTAACAAAATAAAATTAGTATAAAATTTAAAACCATATTCTGTTTCTATTATTTCTAAAAAAAAATTGTTAGTACTTTACTTGAACAGCTGTTTTTATTAATTTATGAGATTTTAATTTTAAAGTTTTATATAAAATTATCAAAAATTTTTTTGTTTTTTATTTAATTCTCTAATTTAAATTTTTCTTATATTGATAATAAAATCCTTTATTTATCATTAACATTAAGTTTTTTTAAATTAATTTAGCTTATTCGTTATATACTGATTTACATATTTATATAAAGTAATTTTCAATTAAATTAATAATTAATTTTTAAACTTAACTAAAAATCTTATTATATCTTTTAATATCTAATTTATTAAAATTTTTTTGGTAATAAAGGATAATAATATTAGATTAACTATTTATTAATAAAAAAGATATATGTACAGAAAGGGGATAAAAACCACTGGTCTTAATCAATATTAAATAAAAAAAATAAGATTTTTCCATAATTAGTATGTTTATTTAGACTGAATTTTTTTAAAAATGTTTCACAAAAAAGCTTTGGTTATTCATTTATAATAAAAAAAAATGATTACTAAAAAAACAGAACTTTCTGCTTTTGAACATGAAGAAATCATCGGTGTTTGTAAATGTAATATTGTTACTTTATGATACTAATGACTAAAAATTAGTATTAACACAAGATTAATAAAGAATTTAGCTTTATGACTTATAATATGAGATTTATGGAGAGTTTCTGAAGGTTTTATAATCAATATATATTTCAAATAACAAAGTATAACTTATTGAGTTAAGTAATTTAAAGTTCTATTAAATAAAAAGAATTATTATAAGTGTACAGTCACACCTCGATATAACGAAGTTGCCGATCCAGCCGATCAGAACTTCGTTATAAGAATCTTCGTTATAGCGTTAATGAATTATTCGTTATAGTAGATGATTACTGATTTCATTATACATAGGGTTCCTCAAAATCGAATCGAATCAAATATTTAAGCAATTTGAATTTGATTTGATTTTTTCAAATCGAATCGA